ATTTTAGTTACGAGAATCCCATTAATTATTCCTACAGAGACAGATACCAATATCACAAGATTTTAGTTACGAGAATCCCATTAATTATTCCTACAGAGACAGATACCAGTATCAAAAGATTTTAGTTCCGAGAATCCCATTAGTTATTCCTGCAGAGACAGATACCAGTATCACAAGATTTTAGTAACGTGCATCCCATCAGTTATTCCTACAGAGACAGATACCAGTATCATAAGATTTTAGTAACGTGCATCCCATCAGTTTTTCTTACAAAACATAAACTGGTAGCCTAAGATTTTAGCTACGAGCATCTCATTAAGTATTCCTACAAAATCTGTTACACTGTACCTGCAGTATCCCAACAGTTTAGTGACATACATCTCATTGATTATTAATACAAAAAAAGTTACCTGTATCCCCCGATATTAGTTACGAGCATTCCATTATTTATTTAATTATATAAAAATCGAGAAAAAAGGTCATCTTTCCGAAATCCGCAGGACCGGACGTAAATTACCTTTTCGAGATTTTATACATTTATTTCCCGTGCCAGAGGAAGATATGAAGATTTGTTCACCCAAGAACCCACGACAGAGCCCTCGTGAAATATGATTTTTCGAGGGTGATCAAATCTTCATATCTCCCGAGGCAAAGGGAAATGAATGTTTTATTCCACTGCCTATGCTTTATTTACTATCAATACATTAAATATTATTTTGCATACATTTTTTTTCTTATCCGCTTGTTTTTGTAAGTCAAACTAAACACGACATACCATTGATAAACAGTAAGGATCAAAATCTAATTATAAGTCTTTTTGTTTTATCGTCTGAAATAAATTTGAACATGATAATGATTTTTGCTATCGATATTTTAAGAAGAATAAGAAGTTCAAAACGTTATGTACATTAACCGCGCGTAACGTCGAACAACGTAATCCGACATTTCAGAGGGGAATATGATCCTCAGAATGGAATATGAAATATGTAATTACATGTATTAGTCGACTTCAAATTAATTAGAATTGTTTATCAAAAGTATTTAAATTAGAGTGTTACGTATAATCATGTATATCTGCTATTTGGATCATAGATTCAGATTCTATATTTTATTATAGTCTCACCACATACAAACATAAAATAAGATTCACAGAATAACACATAACACAGTTAATACATTTGTACGGAAGCGTATTAGGGACACAGTAAAGATAAAATTGGAATTTTGACATTTCAAATCTTAAAATTTCGACTTTAACTCGAAATTTTATATTTTCAAATCTCGAAATTTTGACTTTAACTTGAAATTTTGACTTTTTAAAATCTTGAAATTTCGACTTTCAAAAAGTCGAAATTTTGACTTTTTTAAAACTCGAAATTTCGCCTTTATATAATTTCGACTTTAAACTCAAAATTTCGACTTTAAACTCAAAATTTCAACTTTTCAAATCTCGAAATTTTGACTGTTTAAAACTGAAAATTTCGACTTTTCCTCAGTATTTAAACGTTTGCGAATATCACATTCACAGTCATTTATATCAGCAAGCGGAGACCCATATACATCATAAACTTGATAAGCAATTATTAATAAACAAAACCATTTTAAAGAGTTTTTTTTTAATTGCGAAAGAATAAATGTAATATGTTTCACGTACAATTATCTACTTCAAGTCTGGACTTCAGATTAGTCCAATTAGTGGAATAGTAAGTTTATTGTCCCCCCGAGGTGCAACTATTGCCCTGAGGCGTAGCCGAGGGCAATAGTTGTACTCGCGGCGACAATAAACTTATAATTCCACGAATATCCAGTCAGTAAGTGTTTTATCATACCGAAAGAGATAACAGACAATAAATGTCGGGGCTAAATCACCTATCTTAATATAAAAAGCAGAAACACAACCATACTGTTTAACGTTTACTTCATCTAGGACTACGTCCCGCACTGATGTCAACCCTAGATACAATAGGTAAAACGCGACGTCATAACTCCCGCGGTATTCTCAACATCCTCCAATCCCGTAGCTGCAGCTGAAATATAATGACGCTTGCGGTCAAATAGTATCATCGAGGGCCAATAGTTGGAAACTATTGACCGGTCTAATAGTTCAACGCTTGCAATTTGAAAAATAGTGAAAATAGTGTGTACTTATTTTATATAGAAAACGATAACTGAGGTATACTAATCTAATATATAAAGACAAGGGTTAATGGTTGTGTCATAAGAATGCATAGAGTTTAATAAATGTTCCAGAAAAAAAGAACCAACATTTCAAAATTCCAAAACTAGAAAACTGAGCAGCTCATGAGTCGTCCTGAATATGCAAGGCATATTTGCCACTTGATTTACCATTCTTTAAGCAAAGACAAAGTCATTGACTTGCTTTTGGGAAACCAAACAGGCCTTTAAAACCAACCATAAATCATGGGATGCGAAATGTCCTCAGATCTGACAGTGTCGTGGAAACTAAAACATGGAATATGGGAAAACAACATGTTTTTTCTGTCAACATGCATGTTCTTTCCGAATGAAACTCTTTAATATCAAATGCTAATCCATATCATAATTTAAGAAAAAAAAAAACAACTTCTGAATATAAATTGCCAAAATGTGTGGATTACGCTTTAGTAATATCGAGATTTCAAAAGTCAAAATTTTAACTTTAAAGTTGAAATTTTGAGATTTTAAGAGTCGAAATTCGAGTATAAAAAGTCAAAAGTTAGAGTTTAAAGTCGAAATTTTGAGCTTAGAGTCGAAATTTCGAGATAAAAAAAGTTAAAATTTCGAGTTAAAGTCGAAATTTTAAGATTTGAAATGTAAAAATCTCAATTCCAATTTTAGTTTTTTACTATGTCCTTAATACGCTTCCGTACATTTGCAATGTATGCACCAATATTAAAAAGATTTACGAGAGATATTTAAGACACAATATATACATATAAACATTTTTACAATGTCCATCAATGTATGTATTCTTTTTGTTTTTTTAAAACTAGTGAAATACAATATTGTTTCTTCTCAATAAAATGTTGTTGCAGGTTTTGGAAACTACAGTAGCAACATTCTCATTATTAAATAAAATTATAAATTTTTCACTATACAATAGTAGGTTAAAACGTTCATATCATCAGCTAAACATGCTAAATGCACAAATGTCCTTGCATTAAATGAGCGTTTCTGTTTCATCTGGCTATCGACAAATAATATCACCTGCAGCTGTACCTCGTCCATCAGATAGGTATTAAGGTGATATAAATCTGCATTTATGAATACAGACATGCTTTATCAATGACCACGATATAAAAATATTGTAGCAAAGATACCAGTATACAACAGGTTAGTTTTATATATGTGTATGTGTAGTAAATTTATTAGAAATATACTTCTTTCATTAGACAGATATTTTTTACTAACACATCTGTTTTGTTTAACATTTAAATGATAATGAAACATCACTTAAATACAGTTATTATGAACACATTGCGTTTAATTAGAGGAAAACATCTTGTATATGTCCTGTTATGTTACAAATATCCCAGAAACATAATATTATCTTTGAGGAAAACGAACGTTATAGAAGGGGTGCACCAGTGTGAATGTTTTATACCCAACGTTATGGAAAGGGGGATGCACTTTTTATGTATTGTGTGTTAGAAAAGAGGCGCATTTAATGCTTCATGATATGTAATAAAGGCTCAAAACTAAAATGAAAGGCATATACTAAAGTTACATTTAATGCTACAACATGTCTCTAGAGCTACAGGCGCGGCTCCAGCTATTTTGAAAAGTTGGGGGGGGGGGGGGGGGGGGGTTCCAACCCCCGGAACACCATGAAACGTTCACATAATTATTAAAAGGGGGGTTTCCAACCTGGATTTGCCAATGAGCTAATAGGATCTTCATCTATAAAATACATAGTAAATTTCAAAGGTTCAAAATCTTCAGCAGCCGTTGCCCAGTAATGTTAACAACTTTCAGATATTCTTTCACTAAAGTGATGCCACATGGGAAACATTTTATATACCATATTAATTATTTCACGACGACTGTAATATTTTTTCTGTCTATGAAGAAATAACATAAAAAATTTGGCACTGTTAATGTTATTACAATAGTTAATGGATATCCCAATTTATACTAGTATATATCCCAAGTTCTACTTGTATATATCCTAATTTATACTACACATGTAGTATATATCCCAATTTGTACTAGTAGATATCCCAATTTATACCAGTAGATATCCCAATTTGTACTAGTAGATATCCCAATTTATACGCTAGTAGATATCCCAATTTATACGCTAGTAGATATCCCAATTTATACTAATAGATATTCCAATTTATACTACTAGTAGTATATATCCCAATTCATACTAGTAGATATCCCAATTTACACTGGTAGATATCTCATTTTAAACTAGTAGATATCCCATTTATACTTGTAGATATCCCAATTTATACTAGTAGATATCCCAATTTATACTAAAAAAAAATTCCTAATCTATACAGATACATCCATCTCATTTGAACTTGGGTGGATAGTTGTCTCATTGGCAATCATACCACATCTCCTTATGTTTATATTGGAATTCCGATTTGTACTGGATATTGACTTAGCATTTATCAGATTTCATGGAATTCCGAATTGTACTAGGAGGATTCTGGATCCTCCTGAATTTTAAATTGTACTGTTAAATATATATATTGATAATTAAACGATTCCATAAATATCACGCCCAAAATCAACGTCTATGATGCTACATTGTAACTGCTGAATTAAACTTATTGCAACCGTTAATTGTGCGTGAAAAGACTATTTCAAAACGGTCTTCTGCTAAAGAATGATGTTCTAGAAACTTTAAATGTTTGAAGGTTACAGGCCCAGTAACATTATTGTCCTAAAGCAAACAATTATAGATCAAAATGATTTTTATCTACGTTATTTTTCAGTATGGTTCTGTTTTGGCTTTCGATCTCATTGATGGTAGTTTTCTCCAGTGCTTATGATACCGTAACTGTTAGAACGAAACTAGGCGAAGTGCTAGGTCTGCGAAGAATGGTTCTTGGAAAAGATCTGTATGAATTTAGAAAAATTCCATATGCAAGACCTCCGGTGGGAAATTTACGATTTGAGAAGCCTCAACCATACGGGTCATGGGAAAGTATTTTAGATGCCAGGATGTTCGGTCCCTCTTGTTTCCAAGATAAAGATCTTTTAAGAAAAAGCCTTCTTAATAAAAACATATCTGAAGACTGTTTATTTCTTAACATATACGTTCCTTTCAGTGTCTCAACTGATAACAACAAATCTGTTTTAGTATGGATTCACGGAGGGAGTTATGCTTCTGGTCAAGGATCGTTAAATGATGGAGCCATGTTGGCAGTAACTGGTGACGTTATTATCATTACTATTAATTATAGACTTAATATTTTTGGCTTTTTGAGCTTGGATGGTTTTCCTGGAAATTATGGATTATGGGATCAGATTATGGCTATTCAATGGGTCAAGGACAATATACCATCGTTTGGAGGTAACAGTAAGTCTATAACTATATCCGGTGAATCGGCTGGAGGTTTCAGTGTCGGTTTGCTGTCAATTGCTCCTTTAAATAAAGGCTTGTTTCAGAGAGCAATACTTCAGAGTGGCACGGCCCTTTCTTCGTATGCAGTAGGAAAGGTTACAAAATCAGCTTCATTTCAAGCAGCGGCATATGTGAACTGTACTGACAATCAGGCCTATGTTTTAGCACAATGTTTGAAAGAAGCTCCTGCAAGTGCTCTGTACTCAGCTTTCCGTCTCATTCAAAGTGGAACATATTTACAGTTTGCTTTTGCTCCCGTTGTTGATGGTGCTTTGCTGTTAGATGATCCACTGAATCTGATGACCAATTCAAGTTCAGGTGCGTCGATGTTTTTCCGGTCTTTAGATGTTTTGATAGGAACCGTGTCTGGGGAGTCATCTTTGTTGATTTTAATACTAAAACGTTTTGAAGCAAGCTTAGGATTTAATCTCACGTATGGAATTCCACAAAAGATTTTGACAAACAACATCGCGCCTGAAATGTCTAAAATTTGTTTCAACAATAGTTTACATGTTTCCGCAGCTATAAGTAGAAGATACAGTCAATCATTTGACTACATGGAACAAACTTATGACATTCTTAATGTATATTCCGATTTTATTTTTGATGTGCCGGCTGTACAGTCGCTACAGTTACATTCGCCAACAGGACAAGACCATGGTCATCAGTTTCATTATGTTTTCTCTAGGGAATCTCCCTATCCGTTATTTGGAGAATTGCCAGCATGGTTTAATAGGTCCGAGCATGGAGCTGAAGTTATATTCATGTTTGCTAATGAATTAAACGACATGACAGAGGAAAATAAGGCTTTATCAGAGAAAGTAATGAAGTACTGGACTAATTTTGCAAAATTTGGGTGAGCTTTATAAAGTAGAATATTTCGATTATACTTCACACAATCATATGAGGATTTAGTCTAAACAAAAATGAGTCGCATCACTTAAATTTATTTATCTAGTATTTGCACTTAATTCATGAATTAAGCGTAAAAAAATAACATAGGGAATATTAATTAGACAGCTAATATTATTAATACAACACATAATGACAAAAAATCAGCATCCACATGTAACCATTATAGATGTCCATAATTGATTGATTGATGTTTGTAACGTCCAGAATCAAATAATACAGTCACATACATAATTAAAAACAAGCTAACAATATAAATCTTGCAGAATTTGTTGACTAAAATAATTTAAGGGCAGGAAATTTGAACTAGAAAAAAAACCGGTATATTTGATAAGGTCAGACTTTTTGAATTAGAAAAGACCACCCACAAGCACAGATTTGTTACAATAATTTTTAAACATAAAGGTCAGTGTAGTGCTTGTCATATGGTAAATATCTAAAGTATTTATACCAACAGCTTGGCACTCTCTCTGTACAATGTTCCCATGATTTAAAGACGTACAGAGAGCATGGCATTCTCCCTTTCCGTTCGGACTGTGTCTTTAAGCACGCTATAGAGCAAAACGGTCGTCCCTCTTTTAGCTATGGTTTTACTGCTGAATGGGAGAAGTTCTGGCGACTGTATTGTAAACCCCAGTCAGAGTCTTCAGCAAAATATGCCAGCCTACCGGGGTATGCATGCCTACCTAAAATCGATCGATTGGTCTATAATATGTCTCCTGAATGCTGCATATAAAATTAAGAAGATGTGGTCTGATTGTCAAGGAGACAACTCTCCACCAGAGACCAAATGACATAGAAGTTAACAATTATAAGTCACCGTACGGCCTTCAACAATGAGCAAAACCCATACCGCACAGTAAGCTATAAAAGGCCCCGAAATGATAAATGTAAAACAATTCAAACGAGAAAACTAACGGTCTGATTTATGTACAAAACAATGAACAAAAAAAAAATATGATATACAGTATTAAACCAACGACAACCACTGAATTACAGGCTCCTGACTTGGGACAGGCATATACAGAATGGGGCGGGGTTGAACTAGTTTTCTGGTATGCTTATATGAAAAGTAAATACCAATTTAATAGTTGAACCAGGTTTTAATACACAACATTTATTATATATACAAAAAAAGTAAACAAAAATTCCAAGGAAACTTCTAAATGGAAAGTCCCTTAATTATCAAATGCCAAAACTAAAAGCTCAAACGAACGGAAAACAACTGTCATATTCCTGACTTGGTCAACCATAAGATTCTCTTCATGTTTTATTTCTTGTCAACAGAAATGTAAATGGTCCAGATTTACCACAGTGGGAGGAATTTGACAAAATAAATGGACATTTCATCAATTTAGACACGAACATATCATCAGGTCAACATCTTCATGGCAACAGAATGAACTTCTGGCTGGTGGACATTCCATACCTTCTCCAAGATGGAACGTCGGCGGCATTAAACAATAACTATAAATATCCAGTATTAATTACACTGACCTACGTCTTATTCACTTTCAGTGGATGATCATGATCATGATTATGATTATGATCATGAGAGAGAGAGAGTAACATGTGTCATGGTTATGATTTAATATAGAAAGAGTAGAAATGATTAACTGCAGACGTTTCCTTGTGTCCTTATCAAAATTTTCAACCTGTTTTATTTTAAATATAAAACAGTAAACATATACCGTGTGTGGCCTGTGTTGTAGTTTTCTTGTCAAGATGTGGATACAGTTGTCAGCCATAAGTATTTGTAAAAGCAAAATGGCCGCCAGTCAATGTACCAATCAATTTTGTTTGATTTTATTTTCTTCGTACTATCTAGCCATTTTCTAGTAGTATCTTTTGCTTCAATTTGTTATCCCGACATCTCAACTTGTCTTTCAAAATGTAAATATTGGTAGAATTAAATGATTTTCAAAGTTATTATGTTGTTAGCTGATAAGAGGTGATTCTATTTTTAAACATGGAGATCTATTTATTTTATAATCAAGCTATGCATTTATCAGCAACTATTGAGGTTGAGGAATTTGTTCCAAATTCTAGACACTGGCTGATAAACAAAGAGAAAAGAACGTACATGAATGCTTCCAACATTGATCGTTGAAAGATATACCAGGATAGTTTGGATTAATTGGTATCCTCGATTTTGCTCTTGCTTTGTTTAAACACCCCAATCATAATCCCTTCTGTTTTACTACAATTGATCCTCAGACGAGAGAGAAAAAAAAACCGAACAAATTTAAAGTTAAAATTTATTTTGACTTTGGTGTCGTTCATTTTTCTTCGAATTTTGATTTTGATTGTCCTTTTTGTATCATACATCTATTACCTTTTATTATAACACATTTCTGAACTCCTTTAAGATAACACAATACTAAATCAAGTTGGTTCAGCCGTGTTTCTGTAGATTGACGAAACATTGCATATACGGTGTACTTTTATCGGTAAATCATATAATGATAAGAAGACCATTTATTTTTGGTAGACATTATTAATTTTAATATTGCATAAATGCCGAGCGCCGAGAGAATTGATCGCACTTCGTCGACTTCTTTCCTTTCTCTATACATGAATATTTGATTTCTAAATTTTGTGTTTTCATTGATGAGTAAACAATTTATCTATATATCTGTTCTTGTCTTGAATACCAGACTGAGTTTTTTTTGCAATAAATTCTTATTTATATGTTGCACGCCGTTCCCGATGTGTAAATATGAAATTTACAAGGGAATGGAAAATAAAATTACAAGCACCATTCAGATCCCGTTCTCTTTTTTTTTTTTTCCCTGGATTAATCATTGTGGTACCCGCAGAGTATTATCCCATTTCTCTTGTTCTTTTACATGTTGTTCTTTCTTCGTGTTCCTTTCATTTTTTTTCTATGATATTTCCATACTAGTTTCTGTACAAACTGCCTTTGTAACGAACGGAAACGGCCGTTTTTCTCCTGTTTATTATAACTCTGACCTACACATTAGACTTATCACCGGGTTTGTACTTACACGAGCAACACGACGGTGCCACATGTGGAGCAGGATCTGCTTACCCTTCCGGAGCACCTGAGATCACCCCCTGTTTTTGGTGGGGTTCTAGTTTTCTATGTTGTGTTTTGTGTACAATTGTTTGTCTTTTGATCTTTTTCTTGTTTTGCCATGGTGTTGACAGTTTATTTTCGACTTATGAGTTTGAATGTTCCTTTAGTATCTTTCGCCTCTATTTTCTTTTCAAATTTAATATGAATCGTTTAAAGGTTCTTGTCATATTTTGCACACATGATCAGTAATGGCAATGAATGATTGTTTAAAGATATGATACCGTGCAAGTAATCCCCGCTCGGAATAGCCTTATACAGAAAAAAATCTAGGAGTGAGTTCAGCGGGTTTAATAATTGATAAAGTATGTTTACATGTTTTCTTATTTCACCAACGATACATACTGGTTTGGGCCCAGAGCAGGTTGGATATTTCTTTTTGAACATACCACACATAACAGTTAAAGCACTCGATAAATGGAGCGATAAATTGGGTTAATGGAACGGTTTCAATATTTAGGCATGAAGTATCTTCTTTTTAGTGTTCAATATTTACTTATCAATAAAACTTGGTTAACCACAGTTTCTCCAGGAAGGTAAGAGTGTTGACATCGGAGACCAAAACTAAATCTCGAAAAAACAATAATATAGCAGAAATGGTTGATGTTGTGTATACATCTTCACGTTACCATAGCTACAATGCACATGTGAACTAAACTGCATAACCCTGAGACACGATCTCAGTGTACAAAAACAATAACGTGTACGAACAACTTAATAACTCGTTTTAAAGACTAAGTAGCATATTATGAATAAAACGACTTATCTAAGTCGTAATTATGAGTTAGCTTAGTCGTTATTAGACATTTCCGAAAACTATTCGATACCGACGCTTACACCTATACCTATATACCTACAGGTACCCTTTTTGAGAAGGGGTCATCTCAATGTGTACAACCACCACAGGCATTTATATTTTATTTTTTTTCTTATTTACATTTTGAATACTGTATAAAACATTTATTTTGATTGATTGTTCCTTTATTGGCTTTTAGTGGCTAAGCATTGACCGATCTTATTATTTTACTTGATAAAAAAAGAGGGGTCTTTGTGTAAATTTGTAGAACTTTCATCAGAAACAGGAACGTGTAAATATAAAAATAAAGGAGATGTGGTATGATTGCCAATAAGACAACTATCCACCCAAGTTCAAATGAAGTGGTTGTAAGCAATTATAGGCAACCGTACGGCCTAAAACAATAAGAAAAACCCATACCGTATAATCGGCTATAAAAGACCCCGACATGAAAAATATGAAACAATTCAATTGAGAAAACTAACGGCCTAATTTATAACAAAACAATTTACGAAAAACAAATATAACCGACATGAACCAACGAGAACAACTGAACTACAGGCTCCAGACTTGGGACAGACACATAAAGAATGTGGCGGGGTTAAACATGTTTGTCGCTCAACTCTCCCCCATACCTGGGACAGTGGTGTTACAGCACAACATAAGAACAAACTATAAAAATCAGTAGAAAATGGCCTAAATCATCAGATCGATACAAAGCAGAAAAACATCTAACAAAAACATAGACCGGTTTTGGCAGGGTATTTATACATCTCTAACAACAAAGACACAAAGTACAGATCCGAGAGTACTCGCAGTTACTGACAACTAGTTCAAGCATTTCATATCGTAAAACATAACGTATAAATATACGAAGATATTATAAGTTATCTTATTGTAATCAGGGGTGTTCGGAATTTTATACCGGTGTTGAAAATGCATTGTAAAAATTCAGTTCACTATTGATTACACCAAGGATTTGTTTTTAACCGTCAGATTTATTTTTCCCATCTTTGCACAATCGCGCAAGTATGCATGCTTGATTTTTTTGCATTTGTCATGTCGGGGCCTTATTATACCTTGCAATGCAGAAGTGATTTGCTCATTGATGAATTCCGGACGGTGATCTATAGTTGCTAACTTTTACGTCATTTGTTCTCTGATGGAAAGTTGCAGAAACTTTTCCTAGGGTTTATAAATTTTCGGATTTTCTTTAACCGAGTAATTGGATTTTAACCGTCATATTTTAAGCAATGACATGTACCCAGTGAATCTCTTCTGCAAGTTTTCTTCATTGTCATTTTACAGACCTCTGATAGTCTTTGGCAATATTCCATTTAATTTTTCTTCGACAGTAGTTTTGGCTTGTCCCATTTGCACTTTCTTCCCTTTTAACCAACCTTATTATTTTTTGTGGAACTAAATACAAGTATACTTTAGCATCCCACTTCTTAATAATTCATTATTATTTTATGTTAGTTTTATGTCAATCATTTCATGTTCATCTCCTCAGTTTAGCAATGAACCAATTGAAACTAAATTTCTTTCAATAATAACTATAGTTTTTTTTTCTTTGGATTATTGGAATATGGGATGTTAACGCTTTATTTTGAATGTAAAAGATCTGTTCATTTTATCTTTTGTTTCATTATCCTTTGTATTTCTTTAGTTTCAAACACAAATACACTTTAATTACTTCTTAATAAGAAATAAGGAAGACCCTAATGTGATAAATTTTAGTTATTTGTGTCGTTGCGTTGCTGTCTCATTGACTCGAGTTGCGAGTTACGTAGGTCGGTTCTCTCCGTATTTTTTAACGTAATTTCTTTATTGCATATTTGTTGTTACAACTTACTAAGTTTACAGCTTTTGACTTAGTATCCCGCAGGTGAATACACCTAACAAGAAAAGGAAGCACTGTTTTGTAAGATATAACTTAATCATAATACATTGTATTAGTATTTATAATATACTTCATCCCACACATGTATTTAATAAATCAATGGGAATACACGTGCATATTTTTTTTCTCTTTTCTTAAACTTAGTTTTCCGGAATCAGCTGCGATACCGATGTAATCCGTGTTCCATTTAAATTTGGGCACACTGCTGCTTTTACAAAAATGTGCGCTCTCGGATAGATTTATGATGTCATTTAAATATTATCATTTTAAAGAGGATTCAACCTCTGTGATAAAATTTGGTGAATAGTTCTTGAATTATCAACTCATTTTTTCTATGTCAACGTATCTATGTATTCTATTGCAAAAGTTATAATATTCATCCGAAAAGGAGTCTATTCGTGAACTAGAAACTCTCACAAGAAGTGTCTTATGAGAGTCACTTCTTGTGAGAGTTTCTAGTTCAAGAATAGACTTTTTTTCGGATAAATATTATAACTTTTCTATTTCTGTTCTGCTTTGGCGTGAAACTTCATACACAAATAGAAAGTATATTTCGTTCAATAATAACTATAGTTTTTTCGTCGGATTATTGGAATATGGGATATATACACTTCCCCGTAAAGGGATCGCCCCGCTATTCCGACACTCTATCGGTCCGACGCCCCATTAGTCCGATACCCCAATAGTCCGACACATGTCGTAATAGAAAATCTATGCACGTCATTCAATCGGTAGCCGTGGCTGTTGAACTAGTGTCTACCATCTGGTATGTAAGAAATACAAAAAATATTTTGCT